ATATTTATTTATAAAGAATTTATGTAATAAAATATCATGAATTTAATAATGTATTAGTCAAATATTTATGTTAATAATAGCAAATTTATATCAATTGTCGATAATGTCAGCGTTCTTCGATTACCTCCGGGCCCTTTTTATACCGCCGAAAATTTGCCCAAGGTTGACGGGCAAATCTTTAATAGTATCTCGTCGGTGATTCAGTACTACAACTGCTCACTGAGGCGGCTTTCCCATAGAGAAAGAAACCACGGAACGGAATATTGACAGAAAAGAGATAGCACGAGGGTTATCCTCATCCTATCTCTTTTCTGTCAATATTCCGTTCCGTGGTTTCTTTCTCCATGGGAAGGCAGCCTGAGCGCTTGCATCTTATTGGCATATAGTTAGAACTAAAAATATAGACCAAACCATCGACATCTAGAATGGACCGCTGATGGCAATGGTGGGGGTAGAAAGACGATTAGAGTGAGAGGCAGGAATAATAAGATCGTTCTTTCTCTGTTTACTGAAGCCTGATTGGTTGTTGGACTACTGTTGGATTAACAACAACCAATCAGGCTTCAGTAAACAGAGAAAGAACGATCTTATTATTCCTGCCTCTCACTCTAATCGTCTTTCTACCCCCACCATTGCCATCAGCGGTCCATTCTAGATATCGATGGACCAAACAGATACAAGAGGTTTGTTCGCGTCGCACGCTCCAATATGCTCCTACCATAGCTCCTACTAGGGGTGCGTTCCACTTAATGTTCGCAATGCTCGCGAGCATCATTTCATCCTTATCGTTTACAAATATTAAACAAGAATGAAATGATGCTCGCGAGCGTTGCGAACGTTAAGTGGAACGCGCCCTAGAGACCCTCTAATCAGAGTCGTGACGTCAGACAGCCAGTTTTGATTGGTCCGCCATTTTTCAGCAATTTGCGCCTATAATCAAATATCTATGGGTGCGGTCCACTTGGCGATACAAACACTTCGAAGCGTTTGATTGACCAATCGGAAGAAAGAATTTTACTAATTGATCAATCAAAAAATGCTCGAAGCATTTGTAACATCAAGTGGACCGTAGCCTATATTGTAGGAATGAGCGATGCGCGTATCGATACGCTAAAATTCGTTTGTAAATTAACCTATTTTGCGAAAAATCAATGTTTTCAACCAAGATGGTGCCATTTTAAACCAATGGCTGCGTTCAGCAGACTCAACAGTTTTGCAACCGTTTTATGATTGTCTGCTGAGATAGGACCATTCTTCTAGATCTAAAAGTATGATCCAATTAGCGCGAAGGAAACTTCCAACAGTTGCAAAACAAACGTTCTGCTGAACGCAGCCATTATCTTTACAAAGAATCGTTTCTTTTTTTAACAAGGTTAAAAACTTCGTCTACTTCGAATCGATATAATCGATTTTTAATGTTCCGATACGGATATCTCCCAAAGTATATACATTTGTATTATTGTTAAAATTAAACAAAACAAGATTAAACATTTTTATGTTATTATTAGATAGATTTCTCACATTATATGTGGAAGTAATGCTTACTAAAAGCATTATGTTTTATCTTTTTTTTAATCAAAGTTATGCATTTTTATCATAAATATGCATTTTTCGTTGGTGTTCAATTTTTTCTAACATTTGTTACCCATAATGTTCGACGTTTAGCATCACGCGGAAATATTTTCATTACGTAGCCTTTCGCTGCAGAATTAGTGCAAAATGGGGCTGCACACCCAACCATTTTGCAATTATTTTTATTAATCTTCTAATAAGTTGTATTAATCTTCAAGAGCAGAAAAATATATCACAATTCACGAGAAACTATCAAGGTTAGAAAGAGACACAATATTCCTCTCTCTTTCGTGTGATTTTACTGAAACTAGAGACCCTTAAGAGAAAGAAACCGTGAAGAGAGTCTCTAACTAGAGTCTCTTTTTCTCGTGTCGCGACTCTGATTAGATTAGAGGGTCTCTAGTACAGCCCGAATTGGCTTCTGTTTTCCTACTTTTTCTGCTTTTCCGTCCTAGTTGCGAACGCAACATCCTATGACTTATCGTCCTGTGAACGCCATTTTCTATCCAACTAGAACTTATGTCAGCCTCTTATTATAGTGTCTCTATGAATGCACCCATTATTTAATACGGTCTTGAAATAAGAACCGACTATGTATACCGGCCTATGGACTGAATCCATAGTCCGGTCTTAGGACGGAATCCATAATCCGGTCTTAAGCGGGGAGCACAGACTCTTGCATAACGCATAACACGTAATGCATAAGGAAATGTACCAATCAAAGCCCTCCATTTCCTTCCTTTCCATGAAATAAAGAATTCTGATTGATTGAATTTCTTATTCATTACATGTTATGCGTTATGCAAAAGTCTGTGCTCCCCGCTTTAATCTCAAGCAATGTCTTAAGCCCGTATCAGATTACCGATGTCCATTATTGGTCAACAGCCAGAGTTGGCAGTCGGGTCGGCTTGCAGAGTCGGTAGTCTGATACGGGCTTTAAGATGCTAATACGACTCTCTGATTGGTTCATGCACTAGCTTAAGACCATCTCGAATCCTGAGCAACGTCTATGGATTCAGTCCTATGTCTTTGCGTGCACTATAGATGATTTTCAGTACTGGCAGTCAATTTTGGAACACAACCTCCGTAAAATGCGCGTTTTACGGAAATTTAAGTTATCAAATAAAATTAAAAATAAACTTAACTATTCCTATAATGGTTCCTGCACTCTGGACGCGGAAATGCTTGCCGCGCGGCAAAATGTGACGCGGTAGTTAATTAGAGTGGATATAAGGAGAGTGAAGCCAATTAACCGGAAGTCGCTATTTTACGAAATATTTATGACATAATTCCTCATCCTAATCTTTTCTTTTTCTAACGTCGTCTTCCTCTAACTAACAGTTAATCGTAATATGGCGGAACCAATCAGGAAGGAGGATTGGCTTCACTCTCTTTATACCCACTCTATAGTTAATAAGCTTACAGCTCCTAACATGTTCATTGGCTGCGTTCAGCAGAACGTTTGTTTTGCAACTGTTGGAAGTTTCCTTCGCGCTAATTGGATCATACTTTTAGATCTAGAAGAATGGTCCTATCTCAGCAGACAATCATAAAACGGTTGCAAAACTGTTGAGTCTGCTGAACGCAGCCATTGGTTACCGCGTCGCATTTTGCCGCGCGATAAGCTTTTCCGCGTCCAGTGTGCAGGAGCCATAAGTCATGTACAATTCGACGAAGACTTCAAGAATGTAATTTGCTAGAACAGTCCCATATTTAAAGAGCTCCTAAAGTAGTCTGTTTTACCGATTAAACGCAATAATTTTTGTATGACAATAACAATTACTTTTTTCTTCCTTTACAGATTTCATACCAAGAATATTCTGTATTTCCATTTCTTAATCTAATATGGCGTCAAAATTATCAATATCATAACAATATCAATGCTTGATATATAAGCTTTGTAGATATATAATATCTGCACTACAAAATTGTAGTCCATATGCTGGATTCACACTGCATCCGATTTTC